ATTACATAAAAGTTGTTTGACTCAGAACATTGTGCTTTTATCACTGCATGCAATAGTAGGATAATTTTAGTCAGAGAAAGCTGACCCTTATCTAGGAGAAAAACTTGTTCATTCAGGCCTCTAAGTAGAAGGCACATCATAGAATTAAAAAAAAAAAGGTGTAAGATTTAAAATTTAAATATTTAATTAGAAGCATATGAAAGAACATTTTTTTGTGTGTGTCTAAAACGGTTTAGATATTTTGAAAACAAAAATAATCATGGATCATTACTGACAGTTTTAGCTGTCCTTTTCCAAATGCATAGAGTACATTTAACTTTTCAATTTTTTTTCCAATATTTCATGTCAAGATTTGTTAATCTAAAGAAACACACCTTGTAATGAGAAAACACATGTAGGCTCAGTGAAAATCTACATCATAAATATTGTTGTTTTGTTATTTTTGTTTTGCATCGATCAACTGCTTTTTTATCAACTGTTGTTAGATTTGTTTCTGTTTTATCATTAAACATCACTGTGAAGGTAGAGATCTCAAAACTCTTCTTTCCATGAATTTGTACTTGGGAATGCATATCTGGCACATTTAGTCTGCCACTGGACAGCAAAGAGTTTGCCTAGAGATTGTTTAGACTGCATTAATAGTCATATTTCAGCAGTAATGTCTTCAATGTGAGAAATATTTGTTACTTGTGTTAGGAACTATTCCCATATCAACACTGCCATGGCATTAAGTGAGCAGAATTTGTGATTATGCCTATTTATCCTCACTCACATTTAAAAAGCAATCAAGTAAACAAATGTTCTAACCTCCCATCTATAAATGCCAAGTAGCAACAGAATCAAATCTTACAGCTGTAAATAAATGGGAAAAGCTCTTCCCTGGAAAATCAGGCCAAAGCCATTCTGTTTGAAACCAAACATAGTAGGACAAAACAGTATCAAACTTGCTCTGCTCTGCCAACTTGATCTTTTTACAAGCTTGGGCACAGAATGATGCTGAAATTGATATATCTTATTTCCCCACACATTTTGAATTTTGCAAATAGATACAAAAATAACTCCAAGTGAAACATGATAGAGGCTAAATTGCTTCACAATGCCCTCAGCCTAATTAGGAACTTGGTGCTTCAGCAAGGATAAGCCTGGAACAGAACAGCAAAGTAAAATTTACTGTTCTCTCTAATCTATAAAAGGATATTCCTCAAAACCATAAGTTATATGACAAATTACAAAACTTTAAATTATTTTTATTTAAAAATATTATTTTAATGACAGATTTGCAGAGATACCCGCTTCGTCTTGGTGGACTATGTTTTCAAGTTCAAAAAGTAAGACTGCATTTTCTGTGCACATTTAAGGTTAGCCATAGTTCAAGCAGAGTCTCCCATCACTGCAGGTGAGATAAATTGCCAGCTGCCTCTTATTGCAGTTTACTACATTGCCTCAAGCTCTTCCTCATCAGAGTATCGCACACAGTATATTTATTGATTTTGGAAAGAAAACTAGGTGGCAAAGGTATAAGCTAATTCAAAGATGAGTGGCTTCACTCTACTGTGAAATATCAGCTATAATTCACTCCTTTCTAGAAGTGGAAGAAATGCTGAAGCTGAGCTGGCAAGCAGGATATTCACATCCTGAGGTTAAGCACTAACAGAGTGTTCTGAATCTGTTCCCAAGTCTACCTGTGATCCTAATTTGAGATCTTCACTACTCTGGACCTTATTTTTATGCTTATTATTTGGATCTGGAGAGGAAGGTGGAAGTGAAAGAGGAAGCAGAATTGAAGATAACACCACAAAGCCAATCTTTGTGTGCCTAGGCTGGATATGAGCAGTGATTACAGTGCATTTGAAAACACATCTCTTAGTGAGGATTTGGTTTAGTTTGAAATATTCATAATCATGTTTTCCTGTCATCAGGCACACAGTGCCTGAAACAGGATTAATACTGCAAATAGTCTCAGAGACTGCATCAATTCCTTACAATAATTTTTTATAAATACAATCTTAAAAAGATTGCAACTATTATTTCCTTATAGAAATGAAGTGGGGAATGAGACAAATTTGTTCATTAAAAGAAGAAAGGAACTACTACAAGATAGTTGGAGTGAAACATCTAATGACATTTTGCTTTGCGTTTCCACGCTATACAGCTGTAGCCTTAAGATGGTGCTTTATCACTAGTTAGTGAAACAGTTGGTTTACCTAGCTTTGCTTGAAATACATGCACTAAAAAAAAAAAAAAAATAAAAAAAGAAACGGAAAGTATTTTTGAACTACTTTGAGGGTCTACATAGATTTTTTTCCTCTCCCACACAAGTTGGGTTGAATCCTGTAGACTGGTCACCTCAAAGTTCCTCAAATTGATGCAAATGTGTTCAGGAATAGAAAAGCTGTGCTATTTAATTAGAATACATCGTGGATAAGATTAAAATTTCCATGGCACTGAATGAAACAATTACTACACTGGAATAATTTCATTTTAAACTTCTTTTCTGTAACCAAGAGCAATGTTTTCAACTGAAAACTAGTTGTAAATTTAAAAAGAAAAGGGGAGAAGGAGCCAGATATAACTGCTGGCATGAGGCAGGCATAGTGAAGTGACTCCAGGAATGGAAGGGGGAAAAAAAAGACAGATGGTTTCTCTGTCTCAGGAACTAATCACTGAGGCCTCTTTTCTTGTATTTTAAGCAAGATGAATAATCAAAAATAGTTACCCCACAAAGATCTCCCCACTTACTAGATGTGGAGTCATTGCAGAAAATCTTTTCAGGACATTTTATGTCAAAGTATGACAGCAATACCAATTTTTGAGAAAACATTACTGCTGAATATTACACTAATGCATTTCTAAATGAGAAAAGGGGGTCAAGATATGAGAAGAACACCAGGACCATAGTTTTTCCCAGTAGCATAGTTTTACCCAGAATGTCAATACAATGACAATGAACACAATCTTTTGTAATTTAGGTTTTCAAAATTCAAGGCTAATGCATTCTTGAATTACAATGGAAAGAAGAGGATTCAATGTCACAGCTAAATTGTCTTGTATGTTCATTTCTATAGAAGAACACTAAGGCATTGCAAAGGACTTTGTTATTCATTGCTTCAGGGTTCAGTATTAAATCACTTCTTGCAGCACCCTTCCTGCTCACTGACATCCCATGTTCCTTCTAATTGAATTTTTGAAATTGGTTATTCATAATCCAAGAATACTTCTGTTCTATGTCAGTAATAAGATGAGATGCAAAGAGCTCTTTTTATTAATGGTATCAATGATCTTAAATTTCTTGTCCTACCTAAACAATTCTATGATCCTATACTCCTTTGTACCTCCCATTACAAAACTGGGTATATCCTAATTAGCATCGTATTAAGCTGTATCTTTCAGCAAGTCCTTGTATGATAGACTGTGGTATTATACAGAAATGAAATATGGGTAAAGCAATTGTTTATTGTCCTTGTACTTCTTAAACATGAGAGGGCATCATCATTGGCAATTTCTGCTACTGTAGGTCAGGATGACTGCAGAAAAAGCAGAACAAGCCATTTTTGTTCAGAATTTTGATTATTTTAAACAAAAAATAGGTTTATAGCAACAGCAAATGGTAAAAAAACTACAAAATAGTGCAGGTCCATTATATGGGATTAGAATTTTAAATCACTTTCATATGGAGTAAGACATTGAAATTGCATAAGTATAGCAATAAGATACTTCACACAGGTAGATTAATCAGGCTCACATGCAATGAGAACAACTACTTTCAAAACCTCGTTGACTTTGCTGAGAATGCTGGAGAAAAATATCTTTACCATATTTTGTTTGAAATTCCTTTCAGGAAATTTCTTTCAGTACACATAACATGGAATTTTCACCTAATATTTTAATTCTCCCCACTCGTCCCACCCAGATCTGATGGTGATGTGCCTGCCTGGGACAGACAAACAGTTCAGCTGCTTGGCTCTGGGGAGCTGGAGGCAGCATGTGAGCCAGGGCATGGTGCACCTGGATGTCAGGTGCACATGGCTACAGCAAAACTACTAAGGAATAGGAAGCCTACTTCCCCCATCTGCCACGGATCAGCAGCTCTGAAGAGCACCTCTGAAAATATCCAGGCTGTAAGTAACGTGACAGTAACAGTAAATAAAATCTGCTAGGGTCGATTTTCTCTCCCTGTGCTCTTAGGTCACAACAAAATAGTGACGCTCTCTCCTCACAGAATGTAGGAGCCCTTTTCCAGACTATTCCCAGGTGTGTGCCACGTCTGAGCTGTGTCCAAACACAGCATGAGAGACGCTACTCAGCACAGACAAAAGCTGTGCCAGGGCCATGCTCACAAATAAGCAGAAAGCCCTCGCCCTACCTGCTTTACAGTCGAGATAAAGTCAAAGTCTACAAGCCAAGTCAAGATCACAGCTACCATATAGAGGGGTTAGGAGTGACAAGGATCAAAACAGCATGCACAAGTGACCTGACTATGTGTATGCCCTGGGATTTTTACATTTTCAACCACCAAAATCTGCTGGTAATGCAGCTTGCACAGTACACTCACAGATGCACATGTTTCTCCCAAATTAGGGCATAAATAATTTCTGTAAAACCTTGAAAATTCTTCTAAATTATGTTTCCCACACTAAGTCATATTAAGCTTTTCATAAACTCTGTTGGAGCATACATCTACCTCTCCTCAGCAAGTCTTTGATAGATCACATACATCCATTTGTAGACATCAAAATGACATGTACAAAGAAGTTCAAAGCAGGGAAAAAATTGGATAATGATAACTGATACAATATACAAAGAAAAATGTGTCCCATTCTTCTTTCTCTAGCAAATGGTTTGCTGGGTGACTTTATTAGCTAAAGCAGACCTGCTGCATCCTCTGAAAAACATGTCACTTTCCTATTCCTGACACTCCACAGCCTCCTCTTTGGTGTGAGCACTGCCTGGGTTTCAGTGACTACAGGTGCTAGACACAAAGAAAAGTTGCAGCCACGTACCACAGTTGTCTTCGTCAGCCCGGTTCCCGCAGTTATCCTCACCATTACAGTGCAGCTGTTGGGGCAAACACTTTGTGATATTGCCACATGGAAAGTAGCCCACAGGGCACCTGGTGCCAGCTCCAGAAACGTGATCTTCCAAAGAGTCACAGATGACTAAATAGGACCAGAAAAAATATGTTTATTTTATTACGTGTTTAAAGGTATTTAATATTATGCCTTTGTAAATACTCATTTACATTTGAATGTGAATATCAAGCAACAAAAATGTATTAATTAATTTGACCTGAAATTACAAATAATATATGAAGTACTTGTTAAACTTGGCAAAAATATATTGTTAGCTAATTAAAATTTCCTTTGACATAAAGCAAACAGGTAATTCCTCCCTATTCATCCTCAGAATAAGATCAAAATGTAAATTTTACAAGGCAAATGACCTAAAGCCACTATTTAAAAGGAATGTTTTGCTATTTATGATAACAATATACCAGATAAGCTATAGGTATTCCTGCCTATGGAAGGGTAGTTGGAGCCATATGATCTTTAGAGTCCCTTCCAACCCAAATCATTCCATGACACTAATTTGTGCTGAAATTTTAGACCCAGATAGATAAGCTCCTTTATACAAAATCAGATTTATATATGTTTGACTATATTCTAATTTTAAAGAAATTTCTTGGTTTAAATGGATCAAGGATCTAAGACCAAGGTAACTAAGATCAAATCTGTGACACAGTTTTGCTGAAAACGGAGTAAGACATCATGAAGGGGACAATTTTGAATCCTTCAGATGAGTTGTCAGTCTTATCCAAAAACTGTGGAGATATTGGTCAGAATACATCAGTGTGAAGTTTAGATATACAGGTGCTGTTCTGCTGAGCCCATGCTTTGTAGGAAGGAACTTCAGAGAACACAGGACTTCATTAGAGCAGCGCTGAGGGGAAAGGCAGAGGGATGCTGATGAGGGACAGCCAGGTCAGCTGGAGGACTCTGCCTGTCCTCTGTTTTTCACTTGTCTGTGCTGCAGCAGCTGCAATTACCCACATTTGCAGATGCATGATGCCTTACCAGTCTCACCAGTGTACCTGAGAGATAAATTCTGCCATCACTATTTTTTTCCAAAAAAGCATGACTGATCTATTACTTCTGTAATGGATTGCAAGATGCCAAGTCAGATTTCTTGTCATATGAGATCAACTTCTTCCCAAGAGAATACTATGGAGAGGGTTTAAAATTACTCTAGAACTAAATTTGTTCAGTCCACAATATGTTAGTAATGGAGAAAAGCATCATCAAGACAGAACATTATCCAGTGTTCTGCACTTTCAAAACCTCCCTTAACCTACCTAGTACCTTTCTGCAAGGGTCTGCTAATTTAATTTTTGAAGCACTTTCAAAAAGGTGTATCGCTTTCTTATTAGAGCTACCATTTGGCTTAATGTTACAAAATGTTATATGGCATACTGTTACAAAAAACCTCAAAAATCAAATACACATTTTATTTTAAATTTCATTACTGTCTTAGAACACTTCAAATACTCTCTACAAACTTTATTAACTGTGATGTGATGCTTGTTCAGATAGTAAACTGCTAATTCTGAAACATGCAACTATTTTTCCAGGCTATTTTCACGTACAAAGTATAAATCTTTCACACAACCTTCCCAGATTAACAAGCAATGTTCTTTGACACCATCTGATTTTTTGCACTCATTTTTCTCTTGGACTAAGAGAAATCACCTGAAATTCAATCAAGTACTTCAGATCCATAAAAAATCTCTTCTGGAAGAACTTTCTTCCAGTTAAACCCTTGACAACGTTTAGAACTCTGAAAAATTGAAATATAATGTTGTAGCTGCAGAAAATTGAGATAAATATTTTCTACATGTACAGAATTATCCTTGCTGTTAGAAGCATTCTGCATAGAAAGTCATATATTCCAGCTAACCACCATTGAATGATTTTGAAAAGTTGATTTGCTTTTATCCACAAGTATATAACCTATGCAATTACTCGAAGAGCATTAGTTCCTTAAGACTTTTATACAGAAGTACCAAAAATAAAGCTACATCCTAATCACAGGGTGAATTCACACTTGCATATTGTTCATAAATTTCTCTGTTGTTTTATGATGGTATTCAGAACATTGTGATTAACTTATTTCACACAAAAAGAATAGCAAAAAAAACTTATGTAGGCATACTGTTAAGCAAATAGTGTATGCATAGCACTTAGTGTCTTAAGTTCCTTTTTTAGCAAAAAGCTGAGCACGCAACTGAGGCTTCCTTAAATGCCTGTTATGATCTGAGTACCCACCAAATCATCTGGTAAGAGACACCAGCATAGGAAAAAACCACCATAAATGAAAATATACCTGACAGACCATCTAAAAACCCCTCACATTTTATCAAGCTTTTTATCCTACACCTAGAGACATATTTATACTGATCTGAACCTTGTGCTTAAAGGGGCTGATCTCCATGCAGTTTAAATTTCAAATGAAAGCATTTATCTTCTCACAGCACCATTCAGTGTAATTTCACAGCGTGTTCCCAAAATTATTATGAATTATTCAAATATTATTAATCCCTGCACTAATTAATGAATTTGCTGTTGCATTTTAGAAATCTGTACTTTTTCATAAAGAATAAGTCCCTCATGATGTTCAATGTTTTGAATTCTCTGTGCATTTATAACCTTGATGATATCTATTCTGAATCTCTGCATTACTCATTTTGTGCTGTGTTGGATTACCCTGGCATGTAAATATCTGCCTGGGAAAGGAGATAACACAGCTTCAAAACTCAACAACTTCATCCCAGTTATAAAATCAGTGAAAGCACTGGTCTTTGTCCACTGACTTGTTAACATCACTTTGTTTATACAAAAAAAAAAAAGACAGAAGTTTGGACTCTGCTGATTGCATGAGATTTATGTATGGAAAAGCCCTCAACTCTCTGAGGAAATATTTGGTAAAGCTGACAAAGGTAGACAGGAGATAAGACAGTAAAAACTGTTGAAAATGCTAGATAATATTCAAACAATTATCTTTCAGATTCAAATTAAATTTCGGTCTTTTATGTGAGGGAAATGGATAAAGATAGCACTGCAACAACAGCAATTAAAAATTATGGTTATTGTTTTGCAAATACAGACTTTACTGACATTGGAGTTCATCATGCCAAGATAATGATCTATCACTCCATCTTTGTGATGTGGTATTAAATTGTTGGCTTTTCTACATTTGAATGATTTTCCACTACAAAAAACTTGAACCACTCTCCTTGTATCTTGTTTGTCTTTTTTTTTAGCAGCTGAAAGAAGATGAAAAGTGATAAACCCGTGACAGACTTGCTTATCAGGAGGTTTGCTTTTCCAGATACCAAGTAAAAGAGCCTCTTCTTTGTGTACCTCATAGAGAAAATCATCTCCTGCCTTGCAGTGACATAGTGATAATTGCACACATTTCAGCTATTCTATACCAGAAAATTTCTTTTTCATAGTGTTCAGCATAAATATTAAAATATTTGCAATATTTCAAGATCAAACAGAAAAGAAATAGGTGAACTGGTATCAGTACGAACAGCAAAACCACAAACAAACCTCTTTCTGACGCTTGTTGTCTCAATATAGAAAAAGGTTATACTTAGCAGCATGTTCATGATACTGCAAATTAAATATTTCTGACTGTTGTGTATTTAGGATCCCATGCAATCCCCCAAATTAATCTCAAATTTTCAAAAAGAAAACGAGAATTCCTGTCACACCTTTTAAGCTTGTCCAGACTGGCTGCTTCGAGGTGCTTATTGCTATAAGACACCTGGGGTGAAGAAGAAAGTGGATAACTTTCCCTGCTTGCCTTTAAATATAAGACTAGGTTAACTCTGCTTTCCTTTGCTAAAGGAATAAACATGAGTTGGGTTGTCATCTAGTATAGATGGTAAGGCTTTTTCCTCTGATTCATGGATGCAGAATCACTGGGGAAAGAACATGACAGCTCCTCTTTAAGCAGTCATAAAATGAAATCAAAAGAAGGAACGCATTTGGGAAAGCCAAGAACAAGATGTTCCCAGGACAACAGGGCTTGGCTTCCAACTAAATTGATTCATTAGGCTTGCTAGTTTTGTGCATTCTTTGAAATACAGTGATTGGGTCACAAGTGCTGTTTGAGAAACCAAATAAGGCAGATGTGCACTGTAAGAACACAGACTAAACACAGTTACTTGTTGGTTCTTCAAAACAAGTGAGTATAATCATACTGTTCCCTGTAAATGGAACAGTTCTGGGCTGCTGGGACTGAGGCATGAGCACTTAAACTAACCGAGGGCACTATTCATTGCTTGGTACCTAGAAGTCACACCAGCCTCAACTGTGTCACATATAGGTTCAAATAAAGGCATTTCATAATATCAGGAAAATATTTTTATGTTTTCAGGAATTTGAATAACATGAAATCCAGCTTCATGAATCCAAAATGACTCATGAATTCCATCAGCCAAATAAACTAAGTTGTTATATAGATTTCACCTGTAATTTTTTTGCTAGCTTGAGTACTTCAAGCTGCCAGTTGATTAAAAAATATCCCCTTCTGCTGAAAGGTATATTAAGGGCATGTGAAATGGATTTGAAAAACCTTTAGGATAACACAGAACAGGTCTCATAGGCCAATTACCTTCCTTCATAAAGATGAATCATCAGAACAAGGTTATAAAGGTTTACAACTATGAATTACTTTAACTTACAAGATGATTAATTAGTTATTAATAAAGAATAGAAGTGACTAGTGACTGTCCAACTTTGATCAAATGCATTTGAATCACAAATAACAGAAAAAAAAGAAAATAAAACGACTTAAAAATATATTTTAAATAATAATTTGTTGTCTGAATTTGACCATTACAACAATATGTAGAAGTGAATGAAGAGCTGAAGTTCATTCTTAGATAATTTTCCTGATTTTGTTTTGAATTTTCAGCTTCTTCCCACTAAACAAGGGATTTTTTTAGCTTTACCAGAAAGAATGCTTTTTTTTCATCATGTAATTTTATAAAGACTCTCCTAAAATTTTCTTTTAGGAGAAGCTTTCTAGCGATATCTGGGGAAATGTAATAGGAATCTCATATTATTAAATGTCAATAAAACTAAATTTTAAA